CCTGCCCGCCGGCCTGCTCTCCCTCCGCCCTGCCCGCTGCCTGCCCTCGCCCTGCCCTCTCCCCCTGCCCGCCTCGCCTGCCGGGCTCTCCGGGCTCTGGCCCTGGGCACCCTCGGAGCCTTGCTTTGCGTCGGGCGTGTCCCTCCACAGGGGGAAGGTTCAAAACACGAGTTTGGAGCATTGTTGGAGCATTTGGAGCATGTCTTGAATCTGTTGCGTCATTTTCGGAGCATAAAGTCATCTGGGGACGATGCTTGCGGCATGTTGCAGCATTTGTTGAATCTGTTTTGGCTATGTTTAATTTTTCTTGCAAAATCCGCCTGTGGGGGGACATGCCCGACCTAAGGCCTTTTTTGTCCGACCCCTGTCCCCGCTGGCGCGGCCTTGGCCCCACTGGCCGATCTATTACTTCCCTGGATGGGCTGTTCCCTTCGTGCTTAGAGGGGTACATCCCCAACTAGGGTGCTTGGATGGTGGGGGTCGAGATGGGGATGGGGATGGGGATGGGGATGGGGATGGGGACCCGTGAAACGATACCGACCTTCGGAGGCGACTCATGGGAGCCTCTCATACCGTCTCGCTGGCACTTGCGGATCGACGCTACCCGACGCGAACCGACACTAATCGACGACAAATCGACGCTAATCGATGCTAGATTAGCGCTTTCTCATCGATCACCAGACGCCAATCGGCACAAACTTGCAGAGGTACGCGCGGCTTTCTTGGATCGGCGCTGGACCCCTCCCTGACGCGCGGAGCGCGGCAGGGGCGGCGCCAGAGGCTCCGCCAGAGGGGCTCCAGCGCCGTTCCGAGAAATCCGCGTGGACCTCCGAAAACATTTGTTTATGTCATCATGTGTCTCGAACCGCATCTGGAGGGAAAGGAAACGGGGTCCACGACCAAGACCGAACGCAGAAATGCCGTGTTCATGGTCACCGTCGATCTTGGTCAGCGTCGACTCGTGGAAAATCCTCGCGAATCGGCGACGGCCGACATGGACCGTGACCAAGATCGGCATCGACTAGAATCCCGCGACGTCCTCCTCCTGGGATTTTGCCTGGGATTTTGCAAAGGCCTACGCCGTTCAAGACCTCCAGCTCGGCCTGGGCCACGAAGATGTCGACGTGGCCCGTCACGCTCGGGCGCCAGCGTATCCCTCTCGATTCGAGGTCGAGGAGGAAGGGGCGAGGAAGGTAGGAATCCTTGTGCCGAGGAGGAGGGGGTGGGCGTGCACTGCTGGCGACTCTAGGACAGCATCGACATCTTGTCGACTGGGGATCGCGGGCGCTAGACCTGCCGATAGCAGTCATGGCCCGCCTGGAAATTGTAGTATGGATCGAGAGGGACAAAGAAATCCTGGAAGGCCGTGGTCCCCAGGTCACTGCCCCAGGGATCCCAGGCCCGGCTGAGCCTCGGCAATTGGTGCCTCAAGAGCACCTTGGCAAGAAGAAGCGAAAAAGCCGACGGGTAGCTTTTCAACTCAGCGGTGCGCCAGCGGCCGCGCTCATCGCGTCCTCCTCCTCCTCCTCCTCCTCCTCCTCCTCCTCCTCCTCCTCCTCCTCCTCCTCCTCCGTGCTCCTTCCGTCGAGCATCGCCGCTCCACGCGACGAGCCGGCGCCCGCCCCTCGCCCGCCTGCCTCGGGGCTGCGTCCAAGAGAGGGGGGGTCGCAGATCGTGGCCAGCGGCACGTGCCCGGCCCCAGGGCGGGGCCAGGGGCGCGCCGAAGCAAGAGGAGGCGCCACGAAATCTGGGGCGATGTCATGGCCCCCGCCATGATATCCCCCACCCCCTAGTAGTCCCCCCTCTCCTGGCCGCCCCCGACCTGCTCCAGACGATTGTGCTACGATTCTAATAGAAATCCCCCAATCAGAGCTTGCCTCTGTAGGGGTCCTAGCAAATTTATATGTGTAGGTGGCCTACGTCGCCGATTTCAATGGCTGGGCCCGGGTGACCGGGTGCCCGGGTGTGCCCAGAGGTGCCCGGGGGTGCCTGGAAGTGCCCGGGGGTGCCCGAAGGTGCCTGGGCCCGGGTGCCCGGGTGCTCTATCGCACTATCGCCCTATAGCCATATAGCCATATAGCCCTGTAGTCAAATTGCCTTATAGGCCTATAGCCCTATAGCCCTTTAGCCCATATAGCCCATATAGCCTATAGCCCTATAGCCCTATAGCCATATAGCCCGCATGGACTTCATAGCCCTCGCAGACTTCATAAACCGAAGGAGCAATTACAAAGGACTATCATGTAAGATCCAAAAGGCTCTGATTGGAGTTTTTCTCCGGTAATATATTTCCTCCTGTTCTTGAATGTTCCTTCTGTAGAGGGGCATGCCCTACTTAAGCCTACCCTTAGGTTGGGCATGTCCCACTTCAGGCGGATTCTGGACGCAAGAAAAGGCCAACAAACATCCAAAAATTACCACACACACACACACACACACAAAGGAAAAAACAAAAAAAAACAAAAAAAGTCCCCATATTATGTTTGACTATCGGTGGATATTCCCCATGCAGAGGCACAGGCCTGGCTTCAGCCTACGCTGGGTTTCTTCATAAGCGTGGGGGGGTACCCCCCCCGACGCTGCGACGGGGGTCGGAGCGCCTTCGGCGCGCGGGGGCAGCCCGCGACGGGGGTCGATGCGGGGCTGTCGGCGGGGGTGACGCCCCCCCGACGTTTATGAATCGGGGGCGCGCAAACATGGATTAGCGAGCCATGGATTATAGAGAAAAAAGAGAACTATGCACATACACCGATTCTGGCCAGGACCATCCTGAGCCCAGGATCGGTGCATACGCCCTCTTACCTTGGCCAGGAAGGTATATGCACCGATCCTGGGTCAAGGACGGGCGTTGTCAGGATCGGTGCATGTGCATAGTTCTCTTCGCCCGAGATTAGGCGCGCAGTCGCCAAATGCATGGATCGGGGAAGGTGCGCCCTCCCCAAAACGCGGCCGGTGCCGCCTCCTTCGGCGACGGGAGTCCGCGGTTTCCCGTGGAAACGGGACCCGTCGCCAATCCACGCCCCCTTCATCCAAGCTTGCGATCGCCTGCAGTAAGGAACTCGGGATACCCTGGCCCTCCCTCACCCGTGGGCCGAGGCCCCGAGTCGGGGATCTTCTGATCCGGGTCAATACAGACCCGGGTCAGCAGGAAACCAAAAACTGCAATGCAGGAAAAAAAACTGCAACGCAGGTCTTCGCAAACCCGGGTCAGCCAACATGTGCGGCCGCCTCGCGGCCACGAGCGGCTCGCTAACCCGGGTCAGCCACAGGGGGCCTTCGCAGGATTCTACAGGATCCAGTGCCGTGGCTGACCCCCGTTTGAATTGACCCCCATCTCAAGGCTCCCGACCGAGGCCCCCCCCCAGTGGGCCCGGGCCGCGCACCATGGTCGGCGTGCCCCGGAAGGCCAGGTCCACGATCTCGGAGGACAGGCCCACGCACTGGAAGATCTGGGCCCTGCGCCCCGCCCGCACCCGACCCCAGGGGCATCCTGGATTCTCCTCCTCCTCCTCCTCCTCCTCCTCCTCCTCCTCCTCCTCATTCCTCCTCCTCCTCCTCTTCGTCCTCCTCCTCGTCCAGCTCCTCCTCCTAATCCTCCTCCTTCCTCCTCCTCTTCTTCCTCCTCCTCCTCGTCCAGCTCCTCCTCCTCCTCATCGTCCTCCTTCCTCCTCCTCCTCCTCCTCATCATCCTCCTCCTGCTTTTCCTCCTCCTCCTCATCCCCCTCCTCCTCCTCCTCCTCCTCCTCCTCCTCCTCCCCTCCTCCTCTTCCTCCCCCTCTTCCTCCTCCTCCTTCTCGAGAACATGGGGTTGGAGGATCTCGCCGCATCGCCGACACATCGGCGATGCATCGGCGATGCATCGGCCATGCACTGACGACGTCGGCGATGCATCGGCGTCGTCGGCGTGGAGAAAATCCGGCCCCAGGTAGTTCTTCGCCCCGGATACGTTTTTCGTGACCCGGGGGCCCGCAAGTGGCCCTCGGAGGCCGAAATCGAAGAACAAGGCCCCGAGTGAAAATCACGCCGCCAGAGTCTGGACACGCCCCCTGCGCGCCCGCGATAGCACTCGAGCACGGAGATGCCCAT